GGTCTTTCTAAGCATTAAAGAAAGCCTTCTACAGCGACGTAGTACTCGCCCACTTCGACCCCGACCTTAAGAGTATCCTAGAGTCCGACGCCTCCGACTACGTCTACGCGGCGGTCCTGTCGCAAGTCCAAAGCGACGGCACAGTCCGCCTAGTAGCGCACCTGTCAAAGAAGATGACACCTACTAAATGCAACTACGAGATCTACGACAAGGAACTCCTCGCGATAGTACGAGCCTTTAAGGAGTGGAGGCCTGAGCTCGCTAGCGTTCCTAATTTGGTAGAGGTACTTACTAATTATCGAGGCCTAGAGTTCTTCTGCACTAAGAGGAACCTAAACCGCTGCTAAGCCTAATAGGCTAAGTTCTTAGAAGAGTTCGACTTTAAGATCTACTACAGGTCTAGTAAACAGGGTACAAAACCTAACAGTCTAACACGCCGTACTAGAGACCTACTAGACAAGATCACTAATAATCGCATCTAACACTAATGTTAAACTATCCTAGGTGAACATCGCTAAGATAGAGGTAGCTATGCGGCGATACGTCTCGCTAGACTCTACATAGGCGACAACACCTGCGACCTTAGGTTAATTCTTACTCTCCTCTAAGAAATAGGAGAAGGCGCGACGCTATCTTACGCTACCCCGGTTATTAGACTAGCCCGTTTCTCCCTCTAGGGTAGCCTAGATCTATACAATAACATCGTCGGAGCTAACGAGCAGCCTCTCGATAAAGTCACCTACGAACTCTGCCTTAGCGACTAGCGTCTCACCGATATTAAGAGGGCGTTAGAAAACGGAGACCGTTGGATCCCGCACTACCTTATTATAGAAGGCATACGCCTTAAACTAAGTAACTTAGAGGTAAGCGACGATAGTAAGCTGTTTATTAGTAATAGTCGCCTAGTTACGCTGTTTAGCGAGAAGCTCTGCACCCGCATTATAAAGCACTTCTACGACAGCCTCCCTAGCGGCCACGGTGGCTGTACTACTACGTATAAACAAGTTAGCACCTAGTACTATTAGCAAGGCATAACTAACACGATTGCTTAGTTCACGAACAACTATATAACCTGTAAGCGGTCTAAGATAAACCGCACTGCTAAGTATAGACTACTGCACCCCCTCCTTATACCTACTTAGTATTAGGATAATATATTAATCGACTTTATTACACCGCTGCCTAAATTAAGTTAGTGTAGCTACTCCTACCGCCACATTATAGTAGTAGTAGACTAACTATCTAAGATAAATAAATTCATCGCTATAGAAAACCTAGAGGTCCTCACTGTCGTTGACAAGTTTATAGAGTACATATAGAAAGAGGAAGGATACCCTCGCACTATAGTGTCTAATAGGAGACGGCAATTTACGTCGCACTTTTAGAACCGCCTGTGCAAGAGAGTTAATACTCGCCCTAAGCTCTCTACAGCCTATTACCTAGAGACCGATGGATAGACAGAGAACGCGAATGCGGACCTTAAGCATTACCTAAGGTCGTACGTTAATTACCTCTAGACTAATTAGGCGCAGCTATTACTATTAGCTAAGTTTAAAGCTAACTTAGCGATAAGCTCTATAATAGGCTTAAGTCTATTTCTCGCTACTAAGGGCCGCCAGCCGAGATCTAGTCTAGAACCCACACATAACTATTAACCACTTAATTCTACACCTACTGTCGCACAACAGCAGCGCAACGCCGACGCGCTCGCACAACGTATTAACACTACCTGCACCTTCCTGCGATAGCAGATCCTATAGAGCTAAGACAAGATAAAGGAGTTTGTAGATGCGAACTAGTCCCCTGCACTAAGATTTGCTATTAGCGACTAGGTAATGCTAAACGCAAAGAATATTAAGACTAAGCGACTAGTTAAATCGCTTAACTATAAGAATATAGAACTATACTAGATTACGTAGTTTATTAACAATATAGCTTACGAATTAGACCTGCCGCCGCAGCTTAAAGCTGTCTTTCCCGCTTTCTACCTATAGCTCCTACAAGCCTACGAAGACAACGCGCTGCTAGACTAGCCCTAAGCGGCTAATACTGCACCCCTAGAAGTCTATCTTGACAACGACGGCCACATCGAATACATCGTATCCTAGGTTCTTGACTCTCGCATACGACGCAACTTTATTAATCCCTACACTAGCTAGTAAGGCCTTCTATAATACAAGGTAGAATAGGTTAGAGATAATTAATTAGAGCCATGGTAGGCCTATACTAACCTGCGAGGCTGCAAGGACTCAGTGCAGGACTATTATAACCGCAATCCTAGCAAACCTAGACTACACATCACATTCTACGACTACGATAACGACGGCGTCCTCGTGGCCCTAGTAGGCTTTTAAGGGATTGCTGGCATCTTGTGAGTGGTTTTAACAGGTATCCTTATAAAGAGGCACCTATTGTTCACCTTGTTGTTCGCGCTTAAGCGGAACTTTGAGCGCTTTAGGGGGGGGGACGTGTCACGGATTCGTGACGTGAGCGTTCCGTCTCGGAACCGTTCCGACGCATGGACCACTTAATGGACCATGCTCCCAGGTACATATTCGCTCCTACGCTCCTTACGAGCTCTCTACTGCAATAACTTTGTTACTCCACATACATCAATTGTCTGACTATTGTGAGACCCTTGCAATAACTTTTTATATACAGTAAAATAACTTCTAATTTAAAAGCTATATAGATCTATACGTATTTAATAGGATATTAGAATCTTAGCTAAAAAGATCCTATTTATAAGAAGTAATTTAGTACATTTTTATCTAGCTTACTAACAGAGATATAGCCCGCGATATCTTAATAGGTGTTTAGGGAGCTATCCAGATAGGAAGAAGATCTAAGTTACACATAACTGGATATCTTTAGGACTCTATAACATTTACAAATACACTTTATATACGAGAAGTACTTGTACCTATTATTAAACCTCTATTTAAACGTGGTACCAGCTCAGTAGGAAGATGTGCGAGTATCGTCCTCTTCAGGGTTGTCTGCGCCTAGGGATACGCCTGCGTGATGTCACGAAGCTCGATGTTCATTCCGCGTTGTACCATCTCGGGCGCCAGCGACATGATCAGGCGCTGGCTGCATCGCTGGATGGTTGGAGATTGCGTTAGGATAGCCTCTTTGCCGTGGTCCTGGTAGCCTTAGATAACCAGGCGGGATTTCTCATAGGGCTTGGTTGTCTTTCCCTTGACCTTACGTACTAGGCGTGACTTGAAGATGCTATGCCTGTCGTGCACGACTAGGTCAAACAGTTTAAAGCTGAACACTCCACGAACTTGATCCTAGCCCTAGGCGGGCGGCGTTGCTTGCGCAACTAGACTGCCTGTGTACTTTTCGCCAGCGTTAGCGGTGCAGTGGTTGGTAATTTAATTGCTAGTGGTAGTTTCAACGATTCAACCGCCTGTAAGGGAAAGGTAGAAGGTTGCTGCTTGTCTAAGGGCAGAGGCTTAACAAACTAAGAGTCTTAGACAATTAGCTCTAGCTTCGTCTTGCGGGCTGTCTCTAGAGTGCTGCTAAAGCTTGCTGTGTCCGCAGATAAATCGGCAGCGTCTACTGCGCGAGTTGTAATACCCTTGCATTCTTCTAGAGTTGTTAGTGCGCGCTTAATTGTTTCCGTACGTAGCTCTGCTAGTTGTAGGCTAACCTAGGCACAGGTGTAGGTCTAATCTTAGGTGTGAATTTGCTGTTTCTCCATCTTCCGATCTCTTGCTATTGCGAAGGCTTAGCTCTGGGCCTAACTTGCTGTCCCTACGTTCGTAGGTTGTACTAATCCTGCAGCACGTTGTCCTAGTAGTAGCCGCTGTAAGAGCATGTATGCGGCTAACCGCTTGTCAAATACAGTGCGCCGGAATTAGTCTTCCAGCCACTGCGGACAATCCTCGCTATTCAGCAATCCTAAGACGGCTTCTATTGGAGGCATATTAGCACGACCGGTGTACACGCCTTTAAAGCGGAGGATCCGCTTTAGCTCCTTCGTGTAGATCGTATGCGCACGCATAAACATAGCTTCTGTCCATCCTTGAAAATCCTGCCAGAACTCACCAAAGAGCTCTGCATCTGCTGTGGGCCGGTCTGTGTAGTCCGCGATCGCGCGCGCCATGTACGTCGTCGCTGCGGTTGCGTCCACCTCGTCGTCTGGGGCTTTCACATCCTCGTCCCACAGTTCTGGGTCGATAAAGCGCCAATCTCTTGCGTTTAGATTAGTGGTTCCTAGCAGCTCCTCTCGTGTGAGCTTGCAGCGGCCACCATTGCTGCTGCTTGTATCGTTCACTATTTTGTTGTTGTTTTTGGCGCGTGCCGTGCCGGCTGTGTTCGCCGGGGATGCGTCGGTAGTCGTGGGTTGTTGACGTGTGCCTTGCTGGCTGCGTTCGCCAGGGACTCGTCGGTGGTCGTGGGTTGTACACGGGTCAATGGCGCGACCAAGTGGGGGTCGGTGCGTGTATGGACTGCGTCTGGGAACGCTCTGATACAGCTATAACGGTCGGTCTCGGGCAGGGGGAGACGCCTGATACAGCTAACAGTGAGCTTAGCACAGATAACTCCGCCGCTAATATAGGCGATCTAGGGAACGCGCGGGGTTATAGGATCTGTCTCTTCTAACCTAACTGTCTGTGACTGCCATGCAATCACTAATCAGTGTTGGTAGGCCTTGTACGATCGTACGGGTGAATAACAACGAGGTTCTTCTGGTGACTGGTATTTGTATTCGTATTCTGATTGTCTACGAACATAGCTGCTACAAAGGTACACCTAAGCTCTGCGCAAGGTGGGCCGAAGTCGGGCCGAAGTGTCAAGCAGCCGACGCCTCTACCGATACTCACGATCCGACAATAAGTTATATTATACCGAAGCTTTAAAAGCTATAATTACCTATATGATTCTTAATTAAGTCTTCCCTTAGACATTATAATTAAAGACTTTACCTAAAAAATCTTCTTTAATAATTAGAGTAAACTACTTATTTAATTATCCCGTTAGAAAATTAAACAGATCCTACGAGACTTAATATAATAGTTAGGGGGATCGCTTTTTTAGTCTCTAAGAGATCACCTATATAGTATAAGTAGTAGTATATTACTTATACTCTAGCTGTTAGGTGCCTTTAATCTTAACATTCTAGGCAGCTTAGGCGAGTGCCAATAAAGCTTTCTAACCTAGGTAGCCTAATCTTTAATACTACAAAAACTTATCATTTAATCGAAGTTTTAGCTAAGCTAATTATCTTACACTATTCATTAATAGTAGAATAGAAGAATAATAGGATAATTTATATTTAATAAAGACAAGGTTATAGGTAACGTAAAGCTTTCTAAGGATAATGCTATACTCTATGTCTCTAGAACGGATAGTCTAATTATAACTAGTGTACTAGAATCTAACCTTCATTAGTAAGGCTTTAGAAATAATGTTGATATAAAATTCTTTAATAACTATAATATTCTTAAGTAGTAAGTCCTATAGACTATCTAGTCTATTGAAGAAATCTTTAAATCGTTAATTACCTACCCCTAAGACTAGTAAAGATTAAGTACTAGCCTTAACTATTAGGTAGTCTAAGCACTTCTTATAAGTT